CATAAACGCGACATTCACGCGACACGCATGATAATTGTATTTTAATTTTATTCTCTTGTTTCTCTTTTCTTCTACTTTTCGCCTTTTTAATAGTAACTAGATTTATCTGCACGCATCACTCATTTCTCTCCATCTCATTGCTCCCCACTCTACAATCAGTGAGTCTCTGGTCTCGCGTGGCCTATTTCGACATTATTTTAGTCATTCGTCTCCCTCCATCCAGACGATTGTCAACGCCCCCATATCGCTATTGTCTCTGTACCATCCATCCACCCCTTTCCAAATTTGTCAAGCTTCAACGGCAATATCTATATATTTGCAGCTATTCATTTTTTTCTTATATCACGTTAATACAGGCCGTTTTTAAAATAATTTATGATATTACACGAATATTAAAATAAGTTATTTAATTCAATCCTATCGGCGAATCGACGAATCGTTGAGGCGATGGACGGGGGGTTATGTTATTTGTTTCATAATTTCAACATATTTAGCTTCATATCATTTTAGTTTCATATTTTAGCGAACACCGTGATACCTATTGCGCTCCTTTCGAAAGGCCATGAAAAGGAATAAGAGGTGAATCGTTCCATAATTTTAGCCCTAACGCGGGACACACGAACGTAATCAAGATTCCCCGACTTTAACCGCTAGGTATGGCGCGATCCGTGCGGAATTTACTTCGAGGCTACAAAGGAACGCAAAGATCGCGAAGAATCCTCTATATGAGTCGTCAACGCCCCTTCGCTGTCGGCTCTTTATTAAAACGTCTCTTATCACATTCCAGAAACAAAGATAGCGCCGATATGTTCGTCCGTCATTGCGTCACGTCGCCGTCTATTTTCGGCATTTGCAGATGGAAATTCTAGCACTGGCCAGCTAGAAGAAGAAACATGGAACGGATATTCCTCCCGTGCGAATGTTGCGTTTGTTAAGGCAGGCAAATAAACGAGCCAATCTCCCTCGCGTGAAAAGCGGAAGGCTTCTCGGAAAGTCGTTCTCGCTTTGTCAGTTTGCCACCTGTGGAATCGAACGCGAAAGCAATATAGAAATTCCAGACAGGAAGCGAGTTCACTTGTTGATTTTAGGAAACTTCGGAGAAAACACACGAGGTGCAACTTGTTGCTAAAGGAGTCATCGCTAATTGGTTTTAGTCGTACAATTTTACACAGGAATCGATGGGTGATTAGCAGCGATTCCTGTGACAAGGAAAGCTGGAAATGAGAGATTATTATTAAAATAACGAGAGTATTCCAATAGATCGAACTCGAATATTGCCTAGGGTCAATTTCGTCAACGATCTTTTCTAACTATCTCGGGAAATTATTCTGATATTTAGGTCAAAGCGAATAATTTGATCATTTATCGTTAGTTGTAATCGATACTTTTTTTCAATATTGCGATACAATTAAGCACACATAAAGATGCAAATAATATTTTTCTAAATATATATATATATATATATATATATATATATATATATATATT